ACCAGTAAAATTTCAGTTCTACTGTAGACAGAAAACATTTACATTAATCATTGAAATACCAATAAAATGTAAGTTCTACTGTAGATAGAAATCATTTACACTAATTATTGAAATACCAGTAAAGTGTCAGTTCTACTATAGATAGAGATTATATTAATCATTGAAATACCAGTAAAATGTAAGTTCTACTGTAGATAAAAATCATTTATACTAATTATTGAAATACCAGTAAAATGTCAGTTCCACTGTAGAAAGAAAACATTTACATTAATCATTGAAATGCCAGTAAAATGTCAGTTCTACTGTAGAACAGAAAACATTTACATTAATCATTGAAATACCAATAAAATGTAAGTTCTACTGTAGATAGAAATCATTTACACTAATTATTGTAATACCAGTAAAATGTCAGTTCTACTGTAGACAGAAAACATTTACATTAATCATTGAAATACCAGTAAAATGTAAGTTCTACTGTAGATAGAAAACATTTACATTAATCATTGAAATACCAGTAAAATGTAAGTTCTACTGTAGATAGAAATCATTTACACTAATTATTGAAATACCATTAAAGTGTCAGTTCTACTATAGATAAAAATTATATTAATAACTGAAATACCAGTAAAATGTAAGTTCTACTGTAGATAAAAAACATTTACATTAATCATTGAAATACCAGTAAAGTGTAAGTTCTAATGTAGATAAAAATCATTTATATTAATCATTGAAATACTAGTAAAATGTCAGTTCTACTGTAGACAGAAAACATTTACATTAATCATTGAAATACCAGTAAAATATAAGTTCTACTGTAGATAAAAATCATTTATATTAATCATTGAAATACTAGTCAAATGTCAGTTCTACTGTAGATAAAAATCATTTATACTAATTATTGATATACCAGTACGATGTAGATAGAAATCATTTGCATTAATCATTGAAATACCAGTAGTGACATTTCCCAAAGTTTACATTTTCTCATAAAATGTACTTTCAGATACAGTGCACATATGCTTTTTCCAGTTTTTTACTTTTTGTAATCTTCAAAAGTATGAAAGAAATGTTATCATAACATTATAAATTACACATTTGGCTAAAACATTAATTTTCTCTTGCACATGTAACTTGATAAGTTTTGCAATACAATTGGCTTGATGTGAAAAACATGTTTAATTAGATACATTATAACTATGTATCATCTGACATGTCTCCTTCAATTCAGTTTAACCCTTATAATCAAACCTTTATGTATGATAAGGCTGGAATTGCTTTCCATGTAGATGATGTGGCAGGGGACATTCCTTGGAAATTACAGATTTTCCTTCATAGTAAATATAAGGTTGCAACAGATATTTCAATTCAATTCCATGAAACAACAACCAAAGGGCTTGGGTGGAGTCCGAAAGTAGATGGAAGAATTAGTAGTTACTACATTCAGTTTTATTTCTTAAGATTCCTGTAATGAACATGCTCGTAAACATACTTAAAAAATAAAATCTAAAAAATTATTCTCAAGTAGTTTGTTTTTTTACCAGGTATTTTATATTCAGTATGTTGAAAATTTCAGTACTACAAAATCGTCTATCAATACAATAATTGCAGACAACAATGAAAAGAAAATAGTGAGACCTGAGAACTTCATAGATTGTTTCCATGATATACTTCAAATCACGATACTATTCTTCCAAAACATCTTCCATTTTTTAAAATGAAAAATGTAATATCCAAACTGTTATTCCATTTGATTTTTAAATGTTTCTATATCATTTCAAGTTCTTTGCAAGTTACTTTGGGCTTCACATGAATATCTAACATGTTTAGAATACGAACACAGTTAAACAGTTATCAGAGGCACTTAATGACTGAAAAAGGTACTTTCTCCTGTTTTTTTTCAAAGGCAATTAATCAGCTTATAGAGGGATGTTTTTATTTTTAAACCTTTCCTCTAAAGTACTAAGTTCTGTATTGACATTTGAAAGCATCTTAACCTTTCCATACAATGACCCAAATACCCATGATTTGCTATAGCTAACACAAAGGAAACCCCCGAACTAAAACTGTATTAAGTATAGTATACATTAGTTTTAGAAAAAGTTCAAATTTATAAATGAATAGCTTACAACACACATAAATATACACCATCAAGCATAATCCCCTATCATCATGTTTATTATCTAATTGCACAAATAGAGTTTGGCACACACCTATTCAAAAGTCTGATTTCAGATAGCTGAGCTCAGTCAATATGTGAACAAAATGATTGAGTTACAAACTGTACAGGTTTGATTTCAAAATATAAGGAACACCTCTAATGAAAGTGAAGTTCATGGCAAGGCAGAAAGATCACCAAACTTTTTTTTTTTTCTTACGAAAACAAATGACAAATGTTAACATTTCATGTTTTGGTCAACAACATGAAAACCAATGTTAAAACTTATAATTTTTGTTTATACTAAATAACACCCAAAGAATAAACTTAAACTGTAATGAAGTTTTACAGAATAAGTATTTTTTCCCTATTTTAAATGCTAAACTTACCAAACAATAAGAGAAGGATGATATAAGATGCTCACATTTGAAAATTAATATTTTTGTAAACCACACTAATGCAAGAAGTAAAGGATTAGAAATCTCTAGATTCTCGACATCAATGTATTGCACACAACGTTCGATAGTCTCAACATCAATGATGTTTAAACACAACTTCCTACAATCATTTGCTTTTAACTCTTATCATAACAAAAATTAAACAATAATAAACTTGGTAGATATTTAGATTAATAACCATTCAGATCACAGTTATGTTATTCAAATCGTTTGTCATCTGGGGTGTTCGAAGATTACTGAATCCTCTATTGCCCCGCACCAGAGTATTTGGTTTAGACATAATATTGGGGTGGTGTATTTTACGAGGTTGTGATTGATGTGTGAGAGATTGATGGAGGATGAGACATCATGTCCGGAAGAGGAGTGAAGACAGCAAAGCAAAGACAATGCCGGTTAGGTCCATCGGCAAGAAAAAACAAACGCAAGAAGAAGACAAGCTACTCTAACAAACAAGTCTTAACAGGGCCAAGCAGGGATCTATAAATCCAAGTGCTGTGAGACAGTCTGGCTGTAATACAAACTGAATTGAATGAAAGTTTCACAAATCCCAATGAAAAGAGAAAAATTACCATGGATAAGTGCTTCAATAGTAGATTATTAAGTAAAAATAATAATAAAAAAACTACATAAATTTATAAACAGAAGTCACAAGTCCAGTGGTCTTCAAACTCTCAAGTACTAAACTTAACTTATAAAATGGATTTTGACAAAATAAAGTGAGATTTGTTTGACTCAAATTTTGTATTTATCTAAACATAAAAATAAACCCAAAGGTCCATATACAAGTGTATTTCAGTAGAGCAAAATCAAAAGTATGGTTCTCATCCAAGTCACATTCATTCACTCAACCTAATCAGCCTTGTAATGAATAAATGATAAAATTCTCACTTGGTTAACAGACGATGGAAGGTGATATAAAACAGTGAAATTAATAATACATACAAGTTGCAGTCAATCATATTCTTACTGTACAAGAAAATAAACTTTCCTTTATGAAGCAATCTGAAAAGACTGTGTACATCATCCTAAGGGTTAAAATTGTTGGAATTTACTTAAAAGCTTTTATCAAAAATCATTAGCCAAATCCATACTTGCAGCTTAACATTTTAACAGCCACCAATAATTCTCCTAAAGAGGCTAACAGGTAAGCTTTTCATGAATGATTACAATTATGAAGAAAAAGAACATGACAACATAATGATATCAGATCAGAATTCAAAATATTCCTACCAACGTGTGACAAAATCACTCACTTTGCTGCAGCCACCAATACAGCACGAGCTGCTGCCGCTTCTTCAGCTTTTTTAGCCTTGCGTTCTGAGGCAAGAGTTGATTCAATAGAGTTACGAAGCTTTCGCTCTTCTTGTAAACGTTTCTCCAGTTGGCTTACTAGTTGTTTGTCTTGCTGTCTGGCTGTTACTAAGTTATGAAGTCTATCAAAAAGTAATTTCAGATTTGAAACCATCCAAACACAAGAAAGTTAAGAACAAGCATTTAAAAAAAGTTCTAAATCACTAATTTCTTTAACTATAAGATTGGTTTTGTTTATTTCGATATAAAAAGTCAACTTTCAAATTTAATTAATACCAAATCAATTATCTAGCACAAAACTTAACTTTTATATTATTTCCAGTTTTTATAAAATAAGTAATGCAAAATGTTAAGCAAATTTCACCTTCTTTTCCTCATTTATAAGATCTATATAAAATATAAGCACACAACTTTTACTGTAAAATATAAACACAGTTTCCATTGTTACTATCAAATATACACACACACAGCTTCCACTGTTATTATAAAATATCCACACACAACTTCCACTGTTACTTTAAAATATCCACACACAACTTCCACTGTTACTATAAAATATACACACACAACTTCCACTGTTACTATAAAATATCCACACACAACTTCCACTGTTACTATAAAATATCCACACACAACTTTCACTGTTACTATAAAATATCCACACACAACTTTCACTGTTACTACAAAATATACACAAACAACTTTCACTGTTACTAAAAATATACACAAACAACTTTCACTGTTACTACAAAATATACACACACAACTTCCACTGTTACTATAAAATATCCACACACAACTTCCACTGTTACTATAAAATATACACACACAACTTCCACTGTTACTATAAAATATACACACACAACTTCCACTGTTACTATAAAATATACATACACAACTTCCACTGTTACTATAAAATATCCACACACAACTTCCACTGTTACTATAAAATATCCACACACAACTTCCACTGTTACTATAAAATATC